CACACAGCCACCTCTCCACTGGCCTTTCATTGTCGTATCTCCCAGCCAACTCCTGTCTAATATCCTGTCCATTGTTCCCCGCTCGCTAGGCTGCACCCCCACAGTTTCCCTGCCAAGCCGAGTCGTGTAGTGCTGTATCCTGCCCCCTCCCACTTTTACCACTCTCCCTATCATCACCCCACCCCCATGCTGTTCTCTCTGCTGCTTTGACACCTCCCAATTTAGTATAAACTGCCAATATCATTAGCACTGTTTATTCTTTTGAATTGTTAATGTGAAGACATCACCTGAGCAGCAGACATCTGAGGCGTTGGTTCCTCCCGCTCTGGACCCCAGGTCTGGTGCCCATTGGCCAGTAGGGCTCCCAGGTCAGCCAGAGCAAGTCCCATGATAGGCCAAGCTGGCGATACAGTAATTTGCACAGCCCATCTGAGGGTCAAGACAGGACTGTTTTTTGGAGGCAGAGAAACGTTTCTGTTTTATTCAGTAGGGTAATAAATACCTGAGCTTAACATGATATCCCTTTGCTGATTTCTGTACCGAGGCACTGTTGCATCAGAGAAATGTGAGGATTATTTTCTGTTGGATACACAAAAGTGATGATATTAGGAATATGCGGATCATTAATAGAGCCTTGTTACTATCTTTAGTGGCCCTCTGGATGATGCCAGCATCCATTAATAGAACTGGGTGGTCCTTGCTAAATGTGGAACTACAGTGAAAACATATGGCACAGGTAATTCCAGGCTGAGGAACACATAATTTTTTTCTGGATTAGTCCATCTAAGTAGCCTCTTCGGATCTGAAGTGATCTGAATAAGGAAGAGATCATTGCACCCAGTCATGTTCTCCAGATTACCAGACAAATCTTGGGCTGGTGCACAGTCCAGTTTCTGCTAGCAGGATCCTTCAGTGGAGCAGATGACAGTGGCAAACACTGTGCCCTGGGAGATAGGAAAGATCTGGTCTCTTGCTGACTCCCTGGCTGTAGCTTCAGACTGTGCTCTGGTCTATCACTTCCAGTTGACTCCACCCAGTCCCACAGTATATTTCCCTCAATCTCTCCTGTCCCCAATCACTCCCAGAGAGATAAGTGTATCTTTTTATTTTATTTATTTACAAAATGTGTATGCCATCTTGCTGCCCTATCAGGGTCATGTTGCCTTACCTACGCAATTCATACAGTCTCCACTGACTTTTTTTTACTGAGGTGAAATCAGCCTGAGGAAATCACAACAGAAGAGGAAGGAACTAGGCTGACTGGATCTACGTATCCAGCGAAACGAGTTGCCATTAGGTGGTAAAGTCCTGAGGTGACAGCATGACCTCAGATGAGGAATTCTGGCTTGGAACGGTCCCCTATGTTTTGGGGGTTTAAAAAAAACTCCCTGCAAGCAGAAAACTAAATC